CCAAAATGAGTACAAGTTTCTCGAGTATCACTATCCCTGTATTATCCAGCTTCATTCATTGGATAATCAGCTTTAGTCACTATATTCCGACACTGCTTTCATCTTAATCCAGACACAATCCATTCATCATCCATATCTTCACTAGTTCCATAGTAATCAATCCTAATCTCGAAAAGCCTAAGCTTTCGCACATTCAAATTATTCAGCAGGTCATGAATAGCTACTAAATTCATCAATAAAATTCAACATGCAAACATATAAATTGAATTAACCTATAATATTTTAAATGAAACATGTCATGATTTGTAGCAACATGAAAATAAAAATTAACAATAAAATAGTTCATACTTTAGGTAGCTGCAAGGAGCTTTAACCATGGTTCATTCTTCAAAAAATCCCCCAACACTAAGACTACACCAACTACTGTACCATCAAAAGATGTAAATTATTGATTTCACCTGTGGTTTGGAACTATTACTTGTCATTTGTGTCAAACTGGACAAACAACAATCAACAGGCTTGTTAAACATGTAAGCTAACTGTACTGTTAAGCTGCCATAGATGGGCATATATTCAATGAAAAACAAAACAAAAAACAAAAAAAAAAACATGTTTACATATACTTTGACAGATATATCAGCAGGAAAAAATGGAAAAATCATGGATCAATCAATCAAAACAAGAGATAAAAAGAAATTGAAAAACTAAATTGAGAATTGAAATAAAACTGAAATACTGGAACAATTTTTCAGCAAAATGAACCTCGCTTTTGCTTCGAATTAGGAGATGACTTCTTCGTAGTGAACCACTGAGTATCCAACTTCTCGATCTCTAATCTTCATCAAACCTCAACTCACTCTACTATTACTCCATCTTTCTATCGATTTGTAACACACTCAAAAATCCCCAAATTCATCTACTTAAAATCAACAGTGACTCAATGCTTAACACACACATGAGAGAGAGAGAGAGAGAGAGAGAGATGGAGAGAAGATATTGAGAGATTCATACCAGTCTGTGAGACCGAGAGAGAGAGAGAGAGAGAGAGAGAGAGAGAGAAGAACAATCAGTGCTGTTTGTGAAGAGACTAGGGCAAATGCAAGGACAGGGGAAAATTTTAAATAAAGGAAAAGAGTCCTGCTGGAGACCCCACGAGGAAAGCACCCCAGAAACCCCCCTCCACGTGGGGGCTAGCAATGGATGAAAAAAAAAAAAAAAAAACTGTTTTTTTTTTTACCAATCAGGCATGACCCCCAGCACCCTCACTGGGGGTCTCAATAAAGAAAAATAAGGAATAAATTGACTATTTGCCACTGCTAGTACGGTGGTAGCAAATTATATAGTGGCAAAAAGTCATTTTTCTAATATTGATTTAAACTTCACAAATCATAAAAACAAAAATAAAAAAAAAAGCAAAAATAAAAAAGTTATGATACATGACTTCAATGTCCATAACCAAGCAGTTATTCATCTATTGATATCTCATTTATTTCTGTAATTGATTTTTTTTAATTTATTTATTTATTTTTTATGTATTTGATTTGCAACTGGTAGAATCAATACTAATTTCACAAGAAAAAAAACTAGAAAATATATGAGATCCTTTTTTTTTTTGTCTCTAACTACTTTCTATCAAGGTCACTAATTCCTTCTAATTCAGAAAACTTGTTGGAGAGCATATCAATAATGTAGCTCTCTAGTTAATTGTCAAGTGTCTTAAACTCTATTTCAGGAAAATAATATAGATAAAACTCCTCAAGTCAAACCAACCTTTGCTTATAAAAATCAATAAATGAACCACAAGAATTCAAGTAAGCCACACAAAGAAGCAACTTGGTATTCACCTCTGTAAAACGGTTGTTAAGCTCTTAAAATTGCATGTCTATGACTGTGTAGAACAACTTAACACGACAGTGATATAAATTTATGTTTGTTGATACTTTGCATCGTAACCTCCCACAAACTACAAATATAGAAAATGTGTGAGAGCTCGAATGCCCCGAATACCAAAACGACGTCGTTTTGGCATTCTTACCGGGAAGAGAATGACTCAGACCTGGTACAGAAAAATTATCTTACCGGTAAGAGAATAAATCTTACCGCTAAGATTAAAAAAAAAAATCTCAAAACGACATCGTTTTGGGATTTCGGGCCATTCGAGCCGTTGATAATTCGAGCTAAGTAGTGAAGTCGCTACAAATATATTGTCCATGTTAAGGATAGAAATATTGTGTTTGCTACAAAATGAACACACTTCAATAAATAGATAATCATATCATACCTCATCATATGCAATCGTTTCTATAGCGATCCCGGTTTCTCTTCTTTTGATTGTTGTATTCCAGACTTAGGTTTCGTGGAGTTGGTGGTTGTATATCTTGTTGTTATCCTTTAATTCCGTGTGTTTGAGTTTTAGGATGTATTGGGCATGTTTCGAACAGGTTGGTTGAGCTTTAGTCCCATTCCTTGTTGCCCAGATTTTTGGTGGTACGCTTGAGCGGAGTTTGATTTTTGGTTGTCCGCTCGAGCGGGCCTCATTGCGCTCGAGTGAGGTTTTCACACTCTCAGCATTTCGTGCCTCTGCAAAACTTCTGCAGGTGTGTTTTTCATGCTCGAGCGGATTTCCTTACGCTCGAGCGGGCAGCGCTCGAGCGGGTGTCTTGGCACTTGAGCAGGTAGTTCATTGTCTGTAAAAAAACTGGAAGGGGGAAATCTACGCTCGAGCGGCCTTGCCTTTGCGCTCGAGCGGGTGTGTTTTGCAGTTGTGTCTTGGCGCTCGAGCGGGAATCTTTACACTCGAGCGGGTCCAGTTTTTGTGTCTGACGCTTGAGCGTCCTATTCTCCGCTCGAGCAGGTCATACGTATATCAGATATCAGCTAGGTCTTTTTAGATCACTTTTCAACTTCCTCTCTCTCTCTTACTTTTCCGAAAAGCCATTTTTGGGAGCTTCTCTCACTACTTTCTTCATTCTCTCTTAGGATTGATCTAGTAGAAGTGACTTTCTACCCTTTGGCCTTTGTGAAAAGTGTGTTGATCGTTAAGGGCTACATTTTGATCCGAGAATCTTGAGATTTGGAGCATTTTCGAGTTCTTCATCATTTCTTTTGGGTTTCATCTCTTGAGATAGGGATTCCTACTCATCTTTATGATCTTTAACCAAAATGTAGAGCTTTTGTATAAATGGTTTGGTTTGGGAAGTAAGGATTTGTATTGTATTATATTGAAAAAAGGGGTTTTGTCTTTTTGACTCATATATATATATATATATATATATTTAGGGTCTTAAAAAGAGATTATTGATGTTGTTGGTAATATTTGGACCTTTGGGTCAATATTGAGTTTAAAGGAAAAAATGCCATATTTGGGTATATTTGGGTCATTAGTGTAATTAATAACATTTGTTACGAAATTGAGTTGGGGATAATGAAATTTGATCATTAAAAGATGGAATAGTGGAGTTGGATTTATAAATCGCTGACTTTTGAAAATGTCAATTATATATCTGTTGAGGCATTTATTATCTGTTTAGAAATAACTGCTTTGGGTTATCGGTGGAGGATAGTCTTGATTGTTGTAGACATTGCATGATGATTAGGTGAATTGAAACTAATCAAGTTGTGTATTTGAATACATGGGTGCCGAATCCCGCGGATGAAATTTCCGTAAAATGGTCATTTGAATGTAATTATACATGGGTGCCGAATCCCGCGGACGCAATTTCCGTAAAATGGCAATCCGAATATATCTATACATGGGTGCCGAGTCCCGCGGATGAAATATCCGTAAAATGGCCATAAGAGAATGAAAATACATGGGTGCCAAATCCCGCGGACGCAATTTCCGTAAAATGGCAAGTTGTAGTATTGTTGGCATGAGATGTAGCCTCATTTCAGTTATTTGGCCAGGTTCTGAGCCATGTTTATAAGTTGAGTTTTGTTAAGTTGAACATTTATCAAGTGCTAATGTTTTAGTTATTGCTCATATTATGTTTAGCATATCTCTACTGGGCGTTGGCTCACCCTATATGGGACATCATTTTCAGGTACAGGTAGCATGCCACCTCCAAAGACGTAGCTTAAGAGGCTTAGTGGCTGGGACATCTTTTGTGATTACATTTTTGTATTACACATATATCAAGCCAAGGGCTTCTTTTGTGTAGAGTTAGTACTCTCCTTTTTGTAACCAAGTGTTGACTTGGAAAGTTGTAAGCCTATAGGGCATTTACTTTTGTTGTCAACATGTAATACATTTTGTAAGAATACTCTGATGGTTATAATGTGAGAACTCTTTTACTTATCGTGAATGTATGCTATGGTGGGTTTATTTTTGAGGGCGTTAGGGCATTTACTTTTGTTGTCAACATGTAATACATTTTGTAAGAATACTCTGATGGTTATAATGTGAGAACTCTTTTACTTATCGTGAATGTATGCTATGATGGGTTTATTTTTGAGGGCGTTACAAGTGGATTGCACTCTGATAAGCCCCCAACAAATCATATTACAATAAATAATTGTAAAAATGTAATCATCTCTCATATTAATTTAAATGCACCGGGGAATAGTCCTAACATAGATGGAATTGACATTTCTGGGTCTAGCCAAATTCAAAACCATGACTCAAACATTGCAACCGGTAAATAACTTGTCTTAACCATTTTCGCATTGTTATTATTGTTGTTATTGTTATTAAATTGTAAAGGGCTAATTTTAGTGAACTACTACATAAATAGGTGACGACTGCATTTCTATTCGTGGTAATTCCTCCCTTATAAACATTACTAGCATTACAGGTGGTCCATGCCATGGCATAAGGTAACCTGTCATAATCACAATCTTGATTTGCTTTTTATTTTTATTTTTTTATTATATCAAATTATATTATCTATACTATGTGTTAAGGAAAAAGAGGTTGTTAGTGAGGAGTTTTGTGAGGGTTTCAATATCTCATACTGATTTTCTTGATTTTTTTTTTAATTTTAAACAATTAAAAAAATATCCATAAACTAACTTCCATTTAACCATATAAAAATAAAATTCTAATTAGTACATGATTTATGTTTTTTAAAAGGAAAATATACTAATGCTTTTCAAAATATATATATTGTTTTGCTTTTAACTATAGGAAACAATTCATCAGAATAAGAAAATAAAGATGTCCAATTTCAAATATTCAAAGATTGACTTCTTATGTACATATATTTTTATCTTTTCATAATTAGTACAGGATTTATAATTTTTAAAAAGAAGGGCTAGGCTTGGGCCGCACGTGTGGGGCCCTAGGCCGCACGTGCGGGGTTGGGCTGCTCGAGCGGTGGAGACTTAGACCCAGAAAATTCGATTCTGCCTAGAGCGCAGGAGCGGAGAAAATGGACCGCGCGAGCGGTCAAGATGGGGCGCTCGGGTGGTGGAGAAGGCCACACGAGCGGCCAACTGGGCACTCTGTGCCCTGTTTTCTTATAAAGTCTTGGTCCGAATGTCTCACCCATTATACACATATCTCTCACTCTAAACCCTATATTTCTCTCCCTTCTCTCTAGAAAACTTACTCAAGCCTCAAAACACTTTGATTTTACAAATTTTTGGGTCAAGATCTCCATCCCCTTCCTTCAAATCTTGAAGATCCAAAATTAGGGCTTCAGTTGGGTAGTGGAGATCCGAAATTTCTCTCATCTTTGAGGCTAGGGTTTCATCTCTCCTTTCATCAACAAGCTTGAGGTAGGGATTTCTTGAATTATATATACTAGTTTTGCTATTTGTTGTTGATTTAAAAGTGTTCTTGAGTTTGTGTTGATTTTATTGATTTTGATTCAAAATGTAGAGAGAGTTTTGAATGTGGGTTTATATCTCAACCTTTTCCTATTATCTTGAGGGTT